GTGCAAGGCAAAGGTTTGCCCTTGATAGGTTTTCTATTTTACTGGTCTCGTGGTGGTAGTTGGGAGACCGGGTTATAGGATCGTTTGCTGTACTATCAAGGGGGGCTCTCAAGTTTGTAGCTTGGTCGTATCGTTAGTAGAGAGCTCAAACCATTGCATCCTTGCATCATGTTTCTCGGTTCTTGTTTGGTTCTGTTTGTGAGTCTTAGAGCTTATGGTCATCTTGATGACAAGCTTGAGTTCATCGAAAACGAAGTTCGCATGCGTCTTCTATGATGTTTTCGGTGTTGGAGGTTTTACCGGTCTTATCCGAGGAACGGTTCTCACATTTTTCTTATGGGCCTTTTCTATTTTTCTTCTTATTGATATTTCTTTCAAGATTGTGTTAGCCCTTGTCGCTAGCTTTCCAACAAACTTGGTTTCATCGAATTCGGAGTCCGTTTGCAAAAGTTGTGGCAGTTTTGGTGTTCTGAAAAGGCTGCAGCGGTACTACCGCGAATTGGAGCCGATGTAATTTTTTACTACCGCTCCAGAGCGGTACTACCGCAGCTCCTACAGCGGTAGTACTGCTCCGGACCAAAAAACTCGTCCCAAGTCCTGCGGAGGTAGGTACGGAAGTATTTTTTTCGTACTGCTCGCAAGCAGTAGTACCGCGATCCTAGCGGTAGTACCGTGAGGACGAGCGGTAGTACCGCTCTGTGCTGGCTGTGAGCATAACGGTTGGATTTTCCCCCACCTATAAAAGGGGGTCTTCTTCCCCATTGAACCTTATCTCTTAAGCTCGTGTTCTTCCCCCATTGTTGACCTTCTTCGAGCTTGCTAACTCTCAATCCCTCCAATGATTCTTGCTAGTTCTTGAGGGAAAAGAGAGAGGAGATCTAGATCCACGTTTCCACCAATCACTTTCTCCTCTAAGTAAGGGGAACCCCTTGGATCTAGACCTTGGAGTTCTTCGTGTTCTTCTTTCGTTCTTCCTCTCATTTTCCTCCCTAGCATTAGTTGCTTTGGTGGGATTTGGGAGAGAAGGACTTGGGCACTCCGTGTGCCCTTGCCATTGCATTTGATGCATCAGTTTGAGTTCTTCACGTGATACTTGGAAGTTACAAGTTGAGAAGCTTATTACTCTTGGGTGCTTGGTACCCTTGAGCTTGTTACTCTTGGGTGTTTGGACACCCTAGAGCTTGTTCCTCTTGGGTGCCTTGGCGCCCTAGACGGTTGGTGTTGTTCGGAGCTCAATCATTGTGGTGTAAAGCTCCGGGCAAGCATCGGGGTCTCCAATTAGGTTGTGGAGATCGCCCCGAGCAATTTGACGGGTACCGGTGACCGCCCCCAAGGATTGCCAAAGTGTACGAGTTCGGTGACCACCCCCAAGGGTCGCCATTTGTACGTGTTCGGTGACTGCCCTCAAGGGTCCCTTAGTGGAATCACGTCATCTTGCATTGTGCGAGGGCGTGAGGAGATTACGGTGTCCCTAGTGGCTTCTCGGGGAGCATTGTGCCTCCACACCGCTCCAAATGGAGATTAGCATCCGCAAGGGTGTGAACTTCGGGATACATCATCGTCTTCGTGTGCCTCGGTTATCTCTTTCCCGAGGCCTTTACTTATGCACTTTACTTTGTGACAGCCATATTGTTCTTTGTCATATATCTTGCTATCACGTAGTTGCTTATCTTGCTTAGCATAAGTTGTTGCACATAGGTGAGCCTAGTTGTTTTAGGCTTTGTGCTTGACAAATTAACCACTAGGTTTATTCTGCATTTGTTCAAGCCTTAACCGTAATTATTTTAAAGCGCCTATTCACCCCCCCCCTCTAGGCGACATCCTCGATCTTTCAGGTTGTTAACGCAAAATCTCCTAGGCGGATGGCTACAAATTGTACGACGACTATTCCTGTTCTGGACAAACTAGAAGAAGTTCAACCGCTCTCTTCTCTCGAGCTTACTCTGCGTATAGCGGTAAAACTTGCCCTTCACCGCCATAACAAACTCCTTGCAGCCTACTAGCGCCAATGGGAAAAAATTAGGGAGTGTACTCTCGGTGACAAAAATTCTGCTTATATGCATGTGTGTGCCTCTGTTTGATTTTAAAAAAATCAAATTCCCCTTCTGCATGTAAATGGGACGGACGTGACTTCACATAGCGGGAAGGACGCGATTTTATGTACCTACTTCTCTAGTTTATTGGGGACTCAATCTACCTTGTCTTTTCTTTTGATCTAGATGACCTCATGATCGGCTCTAAACTGACCCCTTCGCAAGCTACCTCTCTCACTGGGCCTTTTTCATTGGACGAAATTCGCGCTGCTATTCTAAGCATGAACATCAATGCAAGTCCAGGGCCCGACGGATTTGGTCCGGCTTTTTTAAAGCTAATTGGGATCTTCTCAAATTTGACTTGCTTGACCTCATGAATGATTTCCACAAAGGTACCGCTGATCTAGCAAGGATTAACAAGTCCTACATTGTGCTCCTCCCCAAACAAATGGGCGCCATGACCCCGGAAAATTTCCGGCCTGTGTCCTTGCAAAACTGTCTCATCAAGATTAGCTCTAAATGCCTAGCCTTTAGAGCCCAACCATTAATCCCATCTATCATTCACTAGGACCAATCCGGCTTTATTAAAAGCCGTGGTATTGCTGAAAATTTCACCTACGTTGCGGATATCGTCCAAACTTGCTTCAAACGTAAAAAAATCGTCTATAGTTCTCAAACTAGACTTTCGAAAGGCTTTCGACTCCGTGTCTTGGATGGCCTTGTCTTCCATTTTGAGAGCTAAGGGGTTCCCTTCGACCTGGTGTGATTGGATCAATAATCTCAATGTGACCAGCCAGTCAGCTGTGCTTCTTAATGGTAAACCAGAGCCATGGATCAACTGCAAACAGGGGCTTCGAGAAGGGGATTCGATATCCCCATACCTTTTCATTATTGTTGCCGACGTCCTTCAACGTCTAATCATACAAGCTTCGTCCAATGGCCGGCTCTCTCACCCGATCGACCCCCTCCATTGCTTGCCCTGTGCTCCAATATGCGGATGACACCCTCATCATCCTTCAACCAGAACATGATCAACTACAAACACTCAAATCTATCCTTCTTGAATTCTCGGCGGCCACTGGCTTGCACATTAATTTTCACAAAAGCACTTTCGCTCCTATTCATGTCGAACCTGGACTCGCTGTCCAGCTTGCCAATATTTTGGGATGCAAAGTGGCATCCTTCCATCAGTCTTACCTTCGTCTACCTTTGTCCACCCACAAAATCAATATGAAATACTTCCTTTTCATCATAGATAAGATCGACCGTCGTCTAGCTAGGTGGCGAGGGGTACTTCTATCTCTTGTCGGTCGTGCCATTCTGGTTCGTGCGGTCCTTAGGGCCTTACCTATCTACGCCATGACTGCTCTACTGCTCCCGGTGGGCATTGTCCAGGACATCGATAAATGATGCAGGTCCTTTCTTTGGGCGAGTCAGGAAAAAGTGTCTGGTGGGCAGTGTAAAGTGGCTTGGGAGCTTGTTTGTGCGCCGTTCTCACATGGGGGTCTAGGTTTCTCCTCTCTTCAACACTTAAACTCTTGCCTACTTCTTTCCCATCTAAATAAACTTCACTCGTACATTGCTTATAGGGGTAGCTCTCATCTTGCTCTGAAATATGGATGGTCTGATACTCATGACCTTGATTCTCCGCATCCCTTTGAGTCCAATGTTTGGCATGATATCGCCGTGGGGCTAGAATTCTTCCGTTCCATAACTAAGGTGGATATTAGTAATGGTACAACAACCGCTTTCTGGCTAGATCTATGGTTTAATGGCTCCACTGAAAACCTTGCAACAATTTTCCCTGCACTTTTTTCTCATACTCTCGGACCCGCGTCCACTGTCGCACGGGTGCTAGGCTATCCTGCTTTGAACCATGACTTGGCTCCTCGCCTTACTCATGCCGCCGAACTCGAATTGGGAAACCTTCGCGCTATGCTTGCATCTGTTTCCTTGAATTTGCAGGTGATGGATAAACGAACAATGACGTTTTGATGGCAAGCCTATGACTTGCAAATCTGTCTACAAGGCTGTTTGGATCAACAAGCCAATTGACCCCTTCGCAGCGACCATTTGGAAGAACTATGCACCCAACAAATGCAGAATTTTTCTTTGGCTAGCACATAAAAACCGGCTATTCACCGATGAAAGACGATTCAAAAGGGGGTTAACAAACTCCGCCTGCTGCCCGTTCTGCCCGGATATAGAATCAATCACTCACCTCCTCCTGCAATGCCACCACCTGCGTCTGTTTTGGGAAGAGCTAAATTCAATTACTGCCACGCTACCAACGGACCTACACCAGCTCTGGGGACAGGGCCTAACCAACAAACCTCGCTCCACCATTATCATTGCTATTCTGTGGAATATTTGGAAAAGAAGAAATGCAAAAGCTTTTCGGAATGAACTTCAACCGATCAACCTCGTAGCCCGCTCGGCTGCCGACGACCTCATGCTTTGGTCCAATAGATGCTCCAATGAGCAAGTTCTGCACCTTCTTCGAGATTGGAGTACCATGTTGTTTCACTTATCTATGAGATGGTAGCTTAATTGATTTGTACTCTCAACCCCCCACCCTCCCTTTCTCTACCTTGTAAATGTACTATTTTATCTAGTAATGAAATGGTTCAGGCTGGCGTAAGCCCGCCGTAGCGCCGTCAAAGAAAAAACTAAATTATTACTGTTGGTATCGTAATTGTTACGAATGTAATCTTTGTAAATCGTAGTAAATAAATCGCTGTAAATAGGGGAGATGAAAAATTAGAGAGGAAATCTTTTTAGAGGGTGGTCTATATAAACAGAGAGGGTGAGAGAGATGCTCACCATCAAGCCTCCAAGCGGCGATTTTGCTCTCACAACACTCACCAGCTGTCTCGCCGAAACGAGAAGGTCTTAAGCGCCGGTCTGACAGCTGTGCCCCCACAAGCACTCGCTGACTTCCCCCACTCCCACCCACACCCGCACCGCATGGATTCCTCCGCCGGTGGCGGCGGCGGGGAGCCGGCGCGGTCGCTGGAGATCGCCGCCAAGCTCCTCGCCGCGCGCGACCTGGTCGGCTGCAAGCGCTTTGCGGAGCACGCGGTGGACGCCGACCCCCTCCTCCCCGGCGCCGACGAGCTCCTCGCCGTCGCCGACGTCCACCTCGCCGCCCAGCGCCTCCTCCCCTCCGGCCGCCCTGATCCCCTCGCCATCCTCCAGCTCCAGCCCAACCCCGACAGCGCCGACGTCAAGCGGGCCTTCCGCCGCCTCGCCAACCTCCTCGCCCCTCGCCGCAATCCCCACCCCGGCGCCGACACCGCCCTCCGCGCCGTTGAAGAAGCCTTCGCCCACCTCTCCGAGAGCACCTCCACCGGCACCGCTCCCGCCCCTGCTGCTCCCGGCGGCGCCTCCGCCGCAGAAGATACGTTCTGGACGGTCTGCCCCCACTGCTGCCATGTGCACCAGTACGAGCGCCTGCTGGTGGGGCGCTCGCTCATGTGCGCGAGTGCCGGGTGCCGGCGAGCGTTCGTGGCCACCGAGCTCCCGGCGGCTCCGCCTATTGTGCCCGGCACCGACTATTACTACTGCGCCTGGGGTTTCATCCCAATGGGGTTTCCTAAGCCCGCTGATCTGAGCACTGACTGGAAGCCGTTTTTCCCGATGCCACGGGATTCATCTGCTCCACAGCCAGCATCTCAGCCAGCACCTACGGATAATTTTGGTAAGCAGAATGTTGGGAATAATGTTGGAGTTGGACATACTAATGCCAATGCACCGCCATCAAATGCACATCCTGGGAATAAGAGTGCTGGTGGTGGCACTGTGGCAACAGGGCCGCCTAGAGGTAAAATCAAGAAGACAGCAGCCCGCAAGAAGGTTGGGGGAGGCCTCAAAAAGCATGCTTCTGGCGGTGTGGAGAGCGGCATTGAGCCATCGTTGCTTGGGCCTGATTGGAGTGAAAATGCAGAGAGTGGACACACTGAGAATTCAAGAGGAATTAACATAAATGAGGTGGCAAAGGCAACTGATGACAGCATGATGTTGCATTTTGGTGCGGATGGGGACATTGGGTTTGATTTGGATGTTGATGCATCAGATGATATAATGGAGAATTTGCCTGACCTGCCGTTCCTGAGGGAAGATGACAATTCCAGGAGGATGTTTTAGTTGATGCGATTGGTGAGGTATATTCCATCAAAATGGTGTAGGATAGCATGGTTGGAGGAATTCCTACATAGACTGCTCCTTTGCTGTCACTTTTGCTTTTAATTTCGTGTCTGTCATGTTAGTCTTATGTTGTGTGGTAATCTATCCTGTGTCTATGGGTAGCTGGTAATCTGTTGTAGCCTCTAGATGAGTTCTCCAAAAGTCTGTAGACTGTAGAATATCCCCAGATTAGTTTGGGGATTCATAGTGTTTGTCGTCCCCGAAGCAAAGCAACTTAGGGAGCTTATGGTGAAGCAAATAATGCACCCTGCATGGATGAAAGAAAGTAAGTTTAAGGCTCGCCTTTATTTGCAAGGCCATTGTTTGAAATTAACTCCTGATTGCATGATTCTGTTTGCACTGTTCATATTACACAAAGTTGATCATGTGATGCTTTTGATTTGCGGATGCATGCCCATCGCTATTAAATGGTGATCCCTATTCAACAATTCACCAGCCTTATTGTTGTCATGATCATTATGTTGTTAGTACAATTCATCTTATTGATATTTCATTTTATTGCCTGTTTATCAAAAATAATCTCCATCATATAATTTATTTTGATCAGAATTTACATCAGAAAAGCACATTATTACGCTTTCGCTTGAATTTTTTGTAAAACTGTGAAGCGTATCCAAATGATACGTTGGTCACGTGGAACAGCTATGAATTAGACTTGTGATAAAGCTCGTAGGTGGCTATAGCAGAAAAAGTAACAGTGACTAAATGCCAGTTTGCTCCTTTTATGTGGACTTAGGTTCTGTAACACTTGGTGGGCTTACAATATGCTTTCTACAAAATGTATTGTGCTAATACTGTATCATACAGTCAATGAGCTGCATTTTATAATCATTCAAGTTAGCTGTAAGTTGTGTTTTCGTATGCTACTATCAGGAAGTTTAATAGAGTAGTACATCATAAAAAGGGTCCATAGAACCGTCTAATAATTGTCTGCAAAGTTTAATTGAAACTGCAGCGAACCACAGCTGTGGTAATTTGCAGAGATGTATTGAACACACAACACATGTTTGTCCTGAAACTGTGCCACTGGATCCCTTTCTCTGTGTGGTTCATCATATCCTCGAATCGCGTGGACTATCTACTGGCTTTTTGCTCGGATGAATATATTCGAGTTTGAACTGATGTTTACGCCCTTTTGTTTCAGATATCTGGACCGCAAAAGCCTTTCTCTGGTGACATCAGTGCAACTGAATAAGAAGAGCGAGGGGATTGGTTTAGGGACTATCGGACATCAGTAGCTTGCAAAACATACTTGCTCTTTTCTGTTGTTCGCTTAGCTGTTCGTCTCCTAGCCTGAATTGTGAGCGGAAAATTCTAGCGGTGTCTCTTTTTGCGACTTGTTCGCCGTGTTAATTATCAGGCTCCAGTGTCGCGCTTTATCCTTGAATTGCAATCCTGTCTTTTGCTGCTGGAGTTGTTGTGTTTCGGTGAGCGGCAGCTCTCTCAAGTGTTCCTTTCTCGTTCCCTCGAAAAAAAAGAGTAGTTTCTTGCCTGCACCCTACATGTGTGTTGTGTGTCTGGAATTCTGAATTCCTGATGTTGGAAATGGCTCGATCCTTGGATCATGATGTGCTGGAGACTTGGGCTGTGAGCTATGGTGCATTTTTTTTGAACTATCAACAGTAGGAGTACCTCCTACTGCTTTTAAATTAAATAAAGAATATAGAGTATGTACATAGTAGCTTACAGCCCACCTCACATTTTGTGAGTGGGGGGAGTGAAAATCAGGTGAGAAAGCTCAACAAGGAAGAAATAAAGGGTTTATGTTTCTCCTTCACTCTATGAGTGAGGAGGGCAAAGTCCTCTCTAAACCTTTGAGCCAGGCTTCTTTGGAGGGAATGATCCCTCTGAGGCCTCGTTTGGTTGCAGTAGATCCCTGGGGGATCCCGGCCTTGTCCCCCGGGGAAGAAGCCACAGGCTGACTTCACCTCGGGCAGCCCACGCCGCCATTTGGAAGCCCACTATCGGGAGGGACCCCTGCCATTTCCATGGCCCTTCCCCGGGCGCGATTTCCTGATGTCATCAGGTCAGGCAGTAAATCCTCGACAAGCGACGCCGTAGACTCGAACTCGATCCTCTCGAGCATCTTCCTCCAGCGACCGCCCGCCTCTCCGGCCAAAGCTTCTCCCTCCGCCGGCGGTGCCCCCTCCCTCCCCTCCTGCCAAGATCCTCTGCCAGGTGATGTCGACGGCCCAGTGGTCAGTTTCTACTTCTGACGAGATCGAGACTACCCTCATGGCTCCTTTCTCTGGTGAACAACAATGTCTCCTCCGATGAACAACAAAGAGCGAGCTATCAGAATCTTGGAGCTCTCCCACCATTGTCAAATTAACGGTGAACACAATCTCTGCCTTCCACTCCCCTCACCTAGATGATGTAGATTTAATTGCTTCAGTTCTTTGTTTTCTTGTTTGGGCTTCCCGTCAGCCAAATGATGATGTTGATTTTCCACGGGATTTCAATTTGCACAAGATAATTTCACCCGGGGTGGCTCTTACCTGGGAATAGCTCCCCTAGCATCCAAATGAGGCCTGAAGTGCTTATTGTTCCTCTCTTTCCAAATGCTCCATGCAGCCAGCAGAAATGTTTCCATAAAGAGTGGCTGGTTCCATGAGTCTCTTGCAGATGAGATTTTTTGTAGTCTAGGCTCGTCTAGATGCCATGAAGGATGCAACGTCGGCCAGCAAGCTGAACTGTATGAGCAATCGAAGAAAAGGTGTTCAACTGTTTCCTCAATGGGAAAGCCACATAATATGCGATCATGATTGTTTCCATATTGTAATGTCTTCGTTTCAACATATTCCTTGTGTTGAGCCTGTCCAACGGTAGAAGCCAACCGAAAATTTTGATCTTCATCGTTGACTTGGACTTCCATAACCATTTATAGCTCTGGTGAGCTTGTAAGTCACGAAAGCAAAAGGTGTAATATTTGTGTGACGTAAATTCAGCGGTCCCAGACATAGGTCCATTTGTCAGCATTAGGTAGGGTTTCGCTCAGAGCTACGTGGCTTGTCTCGGATTGAAGTTCTCGAATCTCTGCATGCGCATGTATAGAGAGCGGTAGGTGAAAGGTTTGTCCCAGTGACGTGGTCGCCAAGAAATCCCTAACGGTAGCGTCTTCACCGATGACGAAGGAAAATGCTCTTGGGAAGGACTCAGCCAGGATGGAATCGCACCATAAATCTTTCCAGAACAGCACATTGCCACCATGCGACACATTGACCTTAGAGATTCCTTTGTAGACAGGCATTAGCTTAGTGTCATCTCTCCACCAAAACGATCCACATGGATCAGAAGCATGTGGTATTTTTCCTTGGTAATATGTGTTCCATAGGAGTTCCACCCAGGGTAGGTCCCAATGATTGTAGAATTTATGTAGGTATTTCAACAGTAGAGCATCCCCTTGTATTCTGAGATCAAGAACCCCGAGCCCACCACATTCCTTCGGTATGCACACCATGTTCCATGCTGCAAGGGAGTTACATTTGTCCCCTTGATCAGTTTTCTTCGTCCAAAGACTTTTGCGTCCGACTGTGTCTAGTAATTCAATGATCGTTGCCGGGAGTCTAAGGGTGCATAGGGCAAAAATTATTAGCGACGTAATCACTGAGTTTAAGAGAGATAGCTTGCCTCCATAAGAAATCATGGTGAGTTTGGTCGACAACCGTCTTTCTACGCCACAAACCAGGGGCATTAAAACTTGCACTGTGGGTCTGGTAGTCCCGAGGGGGAGGCCAAGATAAGTAAATGGCATTTTTCCAACAGTGCATCCAAAGATATTGGCCAGCACTTGAATTTGTTTCACCTCGCAGTTGATTGGCACTGGAGTGGATTTATGAAAGTTGATTTTCAGGCCAATCGAGGTCGGGTAGTTAGATATAATGTTTTTTAGGCGAGCTGCTTGGATTAGGCATGCAGGGAGGACCAGGATTGTGTCGTCTGCGTATTGAATGACTGGGTAGTCCGTTTGAGTAGGGCAAGGGAAATGTAGTTGGATTTGTCCTTGTCTAAAGGCATCATTGATGGCTGCTTGGAGAAGATCCGTTGCAAGGACAAAGATGAGTGGAGATAATGGGTCTCCGTGCCGAACACCCCGCTTGCAATGAAATTGTCTCCCTGGGGTCCCATTGAGTAGAACAGAAGATTTGCCCGAGGAAAATATGCATCTAATTCAATTCAACCACTTTGCGTTGAACCCCATATTGGCCATAATTTCCAGAATTGCTTCATGATTAATGGTATCAAATGCTTTGGCAAAGTCTAGTTTTAGGAGGATAATTTCTTTCTTTGACGCTTGGCATTGGTAAATGTACTCAAACGCCCAAGAGAGGCAATCTTGTATAGATCTCCCTTTGATAACCCCGTATTGATTTGTGTGTATGCTCTTCAAAATGATTTTTTTGTAAACGTTTGGCAAGGATTTTGGTGATTACCTTGAGGTAACAATTGAGCAACATGATTGGTCTAAAATCATTGACTGTGCCTGGAGAGTTTATCTTGGGTATCAACGTGATATATCCTTCATTTATGCTTTCTAGATTAAATTGCCTTCATGGAGTGACATATCTTGTAAAAATCCTCCTTTATAATGGGCCAACATGCCTTGAGAAATACTCCAGAAAATCCATCTGGGCCTGGTGCTCGATCTGCAGGCATGGAGTTGATGACGGCATCTATTTTCTCATTGGTCAACGATATCATGAGTTGCTCAAGATCAGCACACCTTTTAATAATTCTTGGCAGGTCGAACTTCATATCGTGGTGTGCTAAAGTACCTAGTCGTTCTCTAAAAGCTCGAAAGATGATCGATTCCTTGCCCACATGATCTTCAATTGTGGCCCAATCAATCATAGTTAAAGAAGCGATATTGTTCCTCTTGTATCTTTCGGACGCCATAGCTTGAAAAAACTTCAAATTTTCATCACCCAATTTAACCCAAC